TGAGTCATCTGCACAGTTTAAACTACTCACTGGAAAGAGCCATTGGTAAAAGCACAGAACTAAGTACAAGCACAGGAAATATACTAGCTCAGGGGCTTTGTCCAGTCTCCTGAGGCTCAGAATTTGAAAGGATGTGGTGTGGTCAGGATCCTCTTCACAAGAATATTGTGAAGTTACCAGTGTCAATGCACTTTACTCTCTGTTACAGGTGATTTTCTTTAATGTCATCATGCTCACACAACTGAGAACTTCTTACTGTCAAGAGTCAAGTTGTACTCTATTCTTTATCCTTGTTTTCCCTTTACTTAGCACAGAATCTAACATATACCATATATATCTCCAACAACACATATAAGAACTACTTTTTCCTAGTCCCTCTTTCTCTAATGACCCAGCTTCCCTTGATGAAGTTGCTACTTGCCTTCCTGTCAAAACTAGTCCTAGATGATAGAACAAGTCCCACATGCCCTGCCCACACATCTGTGACATATATAAACTCCAACAGCTGCTCTGCAATAGGCCCAAGGTCTTTCCTCACACATTCCTTACCCAACTTTGAAAGTGCACCATTTTTGCTTACCATACGCATTGTTTCCCGGTAAGCACAGAGCATGGTATTCACATAGTAATCAGAAAATCTATAATTAGTCAGGCTGGAAACAAGGTAATAAACTCCCCAGCAGAGAGTAAGAGAGTGGTGCAGATTTGACATGAATTTATCTTTCTTTTCTCTCTTTTTTTTTCTTAACATATTGGTTACCAAATTTAGCTTTTTCTACATTTCTAAATCATGTATCCTGATATTTAAGATCCCTCTTATAAAATTCATTCAAGAATTACTTTTAAAAATACATACCGAATAGACAGTCAAATCCAAACCTTTCCTTCAATTGAGTTTCACAATTTGAAAGGTCTTTGTAAATTGTAAAACAACCTATTACTTATGACATAACACAAATCAATGTCATCCCTGGTATAAAGGGATAGTCAGCTGCCCAAGTACTCTTCACCCTGTTACTCTACCTGGGAGATAATGTTCTCCTGTGCTTTTTGCCACATGCAGTTAGGTAGGGAAGTTAGTATTCCTGTGCCCCACATGGAACTATGGTTCTTATAAATTGACCTTGTTGTTAGAAGCATTTGTTATTTAGTAGAGTTCTGCAGAGAAATGTTGTATGGTGAAGAAGCATAAATTGTTTTGTATTCTATTTGTTAAATCCAGAATTGGGTTTTCTGATGACTAAGAGGCTTCGTCATCTGTCATACTGAAGTTTAACAGATAAACTGTTCCTGTTCTTCTCTGCCACTTGTGACCTTGGGCAAGTCCCTTAGAAGCTCTCTGATTTTTCATATTCTCTAATATAAATTGGGTTTAATATTATCTTCTCTGTTTATACCTTCAATGATACCAAAGGGTACTCAGAGAGATCAAGCAGGAAAATGTATGTGAAAGTAGTTTGTCACAATCACAATTACAACAACAAGAGTAATAGCTACATGTATTCAGCATTTAATATTTGTCAAGCACAGCTTTACAAGAATTAGCTCATTTAACTCTTATCATTACTCTAAGAAATGTAAGGTCTATCGTCCCAATTTTACAGACAGGAAACCAAGACATAGAGGATAGGTAACTTTACAAGTCTTCTCAGCAAAAAAGTTGAAAAAATTGTCATGTACTACCTATGCCCCAGGCACAGTAAAACAATGATATGAAAGTTGATGCACAATGTAAGAAATAATATCTTACAGAAAAATAAAATCAGATGAGCCAGCTGAGGTTCAGCAAAGTTTTATGGCTTACTCAATGCCAAGTGTTACATTTTTAAAGTATCTATGATTTACAAGATATTTAGAATATGTCTGACATACTCTATTATTAAGATGAGGGAAGTATAAGAAAGCTGTTAGAAACCTGGGGGCTGGATTCAACAGCTATGTTTTAAATTTAGCACCACAAAACCAGCTATTTTACTGGAAGATTAAATATGCCCAGACATTTATAAAAATAAATACTCAAGAAATTTTAGTTTCTATTACTATAACTGCCCAATTCCTGTAGCTGAGTCCCAAAGCACATCAAGAAATCTAAATAAAATCATATAGTTCTCTTTGAACATGCTAATGGAGCATTTGCAATGTCTGGATTTGGAGAGTTATAAAACAGGAGAGCCTCACATGAGAAATTTTTGTTTTACTCTTTCCTAATTAGTCAATATAAAAAGAGAAAAACCTACAAATTCACATCATAATTAAGAATTAGTTCAGAAATAGATTTTCATTCATTTCTTTCCATTTTCTGCATATCAGTACAAAAAAAATCTATTAGAAATAAGAAGAGGGCAAAGATAACTTCCTAACTAGGGAAGGGAAGAGGGCCTAACCCCCATGGGCCGATGGAACATCAGGCATCCATGGCCCTGTGGACACAAAGAACATGACTTGATGCCAAATCAGACAGCACAACTCAAATCCTGCTCTTCCACTATTAGCTGGGTGGCCCTGGGCAAAGTTACTTCATTTCTGTAACTCTATCAAGAGCTTCTGAACATGGAGAGCTGCTCAGCTACTCCTCTATGATGGATTCCGTGGGATCTACGGCAACTGTTGTCCTTGTGGGGTTTGAGGTATGAATCACCTCATTTCACATGGTCCTAAAAGTACTTTTTGGAGACTATCAGGATAAGACTGGCCAATCTAGGTAGACACAAGACATACATCATGGGAATTTGTTGAATAAATAGGGCCCTACTTAGCAATGAACCAGGCAAGTATCAAGAGTCTACCTGAGCAAGAATTCTCTCTGTAGCAGGCATACCAGATATCCCGTCAGGTTAGGGCAACTCAGCTAACAGGGCTTTTGAGCTTGAGGCTGCCAAAGACAGGGGAATGGATCCCTGAGGTGCTGAACACCACCTTATAGGTAGAACTAACTTTTCAATTCATCTAGAACTATGATTTAGGAGGCATTTCCCAGCTTGGGAGTTAAATTTATATTGTAAAATGGGTAAGCCTGAAAATGATGCTGGCTGTTTGGGGACAGAATATATGTGTAAAGTAGGAATTGCAATTTATTAGGATTTGATCAGCACATGTATGTCATGTGACTCTTGCTTAGCATGTATAAATGCTCAAAAAAATTGGTAGCTAGTATAATAGCAACCCTTGAAGATCTCCAAGATAATAGGCATGAATACCTTTAACCAGCATCATTGGTTGCTCATCTCTCATTTTCATTTTGTTCGGAGAAAGTCTCCCTATTTATTGATCAGGAGACAAGAACAAGGATTTTAAGGAACTTGTCTAATATCTCATAGTATTCATGAAATAACACAGTATTTAGAAGGAGCCAGTTCAATTCTGGAATTTGGGCTCACAAACACTATGTGTTTTCATCTCCCTGGTGAAGGTGAGAAAACAGATTTACAGACAATAACCTGCCTGAGGGAATACTACTACTTAGATTTGAAACAGAAGTACAAATTACAGCAACATCTCCTTTTAAACACTAAGCTATTTCTAGACCCAAGTCCAGAGACTTAGGGACCCAGAATAGTTTTCACACACTAAAACATGGAGCAACAAGGTATATGGACTCATAATGAATTTTAAAATATGGAAACCCAATCGAACATTTGTTGATGATATCTTCTGGTCTATGATAACCCCTGTGCTTCTAAAGCAGCTGAAGACTCCAAATGCATGAATCTGTCCATATGCCAAGAGCTTTATCATAAGACCTGGCAGCTCATGATTAAAGAGGCACTAGAGTCCCCAGAAATGCCCTTTCAAATATTTTCCATATTTGTTCTCCCTTCAGGCCATGAAAAAGCATTTCTAGCAACAGCTGAAATTAACCTGTTTTCTTAAAAAGGATTGGAATATTTGGATGCAACACTTATAAAGAAAGTTCCTGGTACTCCAGACCATGAAACAGTCAGAGATGGAGTAGGACTATTTGAAGCGGTTCATGGAGAAGTTCAAGGACTTTAAAACTTCTAAGCAGGAAGGTTCCTGAGCCATCATTGTCCAACCCCTCCTACTTAATAAGGATGCAATGGAACTGAAGGGAGTTGTCCAAAGCCACTGAGCAAGTTAATGAGTGGCAGAGCCAGAACCTGTAATAAGAGATTGGATATGCCAGGATTGCATATATTCTTAGTCCAAGATTTACTCTTAGAGTAGACATTTCGCATTCTCACTTTTGATTACATTTAAGTCCAAGTATAAACTCTCATTGTCAAATACTGATTTCAAACATTGTAAAAAAAACAACAAAAAAATTAAAAGGTTCTCATTTACATATCTTTCAAAAGATAACTTTAAGGCCAAATCAAGAAATTTTATGCCTAATGTCATAGACCCTGACATAAGAGTTGCTTTAAAATACATATAAAGCTTTTTATAGATTATATAAAGACAGAGATATATTTAAAAAAAAATTGAGATGGGAGACTGGGGCATTAATTTGCCCCTGATAAATACAAAGCAAAGAATCACAAACTCCCTTGACTGAAGGACAGAAAGCAGGGTGTTGAAATTGGGAATAAAGCCAGCTGTTAAAAACAGGAATGGGCAAACTCCAGATAGTTTCATATTATCCCATTTGCTTCTATTAACTCGGCTAGGGGCTTCCCTGGGTCAGCTCAGACACAAGGGCCTATGTGGCACTCTGAGCCGCTTAACCAGTAAGACTATCGGCCCAGAAAACAAACTTGAGAAAGAGCCACCTAAAGCGATTGCTGAGGTTCTCACTCTGGGTGCCAGCAGTGGCCTGTTCTGAGTTGGAGAGACACCAGGGGAAAATAAAACGCCACCGAACGCACTTGAAGTTTCAGCTGGAGCAAAAAAAACTTTTTCTTGTCTTTGAGAACAAGTTTCCAAACCGCCAGGAATGCCCTGGAGATCTGGATCTTATTCTTGACTGAGGGCCGCTGTCCTGGGACTGGAGACCAGCTTCAAGGCGCTGCCGCCCGCCCCCGACCATCCCAGGCTCTCACCTGCGATGTCCCAGAGCTGCAGGCGCACTACTGTCTCCGGGTCCCAGTGAAGCACTTTAAGCGCGAAGTCCACGCCTATGGTGGCTCGGTAATGCGAGGAAAAGTTCTGGTGCACATAGCGCTTGATGATGCTGGTCTTGCCCACGCCGAGGTCGCCGATCACCAGCAGTTTGTACAGGTGCTCCTTGTGCGGGGCCTGCATCCTGGCGGCCGGCCCGCCGTGCAGTGCCTGGCCAGGGAAGCACAGCCTGGGCTGGGCGCGGGAGAGTAGACCCGTAGCTCAAGTGTGGGAGCCGGAGAGAGGCGTCCGCGGTGGGGCGGGGGCGTAGGGCGGAACTCCTCCCCTGAGGTTAATCCTCCTTCCTACTTCGCGGCCTTGGAGAAGGGTGGAGACAGGAGCTGCTCCGGTTCCCGTCTTATTGCCTGTTGCTGCACTTATTTGTACTGTGCTTCAGAGTTTCCACGGAGATTTTTTCTCCCCTTTGATGCCAGGCACAAACCTTTCAGGTGTAGATTTTATTTTCTATGTTTTGCTTGCGAGAAAATTGAGTGACAAAAAATACCACACTGTGAGGGGGCTGGGAATGTAATTCAGTGGAAGAGCACTCCCCTAGCGCGTGAGGTCCAAGTTCAATCCCTATCTCCTGGAAGAAAAAAAGAAAATGTACTACTAGAGAGATGAGCCAGTGAAAGACCTAGGTGAACCCAGGTCTCCCAAGGACACAGGGCTCCATCACCACCCCACACTTAGAGCGTAGAGGCAACAGAGAATGCAATATTAGGAAGCACAACACCAGGATTTGGGTCCTGCAGGCCCCTGGTTTTGAGTAGAGAGATCTTGGGCAATTCCTCTGAGCTCCCCAGGCTCCAGGCCTCAGTGAACTGTCAGCAGCTTTGAGAGGTGAACTTTGAACACTTTCACATCTTTTCTACTGTCAATGAACTAGCAAGAAGGAGGCGGGAGTGAAAATGCAATCACATCCATGACTTTCAGCATCTTAAGAGCTCAGCAGCACTGACAATTCAATCAATCGGTTTTATTATCATAAGTAATAATATTAGCAAGCTTTCATAGAGCATTTGCTATGTGCCACAGGTTTTATACATATGTTGCTTAGTCACTCAAGAAGTCTTAAAGATAAGTACCATTATTTTTTCCATCTTACAACTAAGGAAGCCAAGGACTAGACACTTTAATTAGGTCCCAGGGTCAAAGGTTTTTTTTTTGTTGTTGTTGTTGTTGTTGCTTTTTTTTTTTTTTTTTTTTCATTTAATCAACATACATTGAGAACCTTCCCTGTTAAGCACAGCTCTGTGTGCTTGGGATAATACAGGAATAATAATGGAGACAAGGATTCCTAGCTTGAACAAATGTGGGATAAGAAAAAAATTGGTATAGAGTGGCCTGGAAAAGTCTTGTGAAAATGGGGACAATTCAGTGAATACTTGAAGGAAGTAAGATGGGCATGCAGGTCTTGAGGATAAGTATTCCATACCAAAATGAGGTATTGTATACCTGAATATATTGGGAATGAAGCTCCTCTCACCCACCTTCTTTGCAAACCTCAAGTGGTTTTCCTAATCTAGGTGCAGTCTGGATTATTCTCATCTTTATCTGGTCTCCCCTTCTGATCTAGAGCATATTAGAACATTAGATATTTACTTTTATGTTAAAGGACAGGAAGGGCATGATTCAGGTTTTCTTGGGCACAAAGCTATAAAATTGGGTTATGGAGCTCTTTAAGCAAATGAATGTAAAATTTAAAAATTAAATTTAAATAATTTGGAAGGGTCCTGAAGCTTCAGCTTCATTGCCTCTCTGAAGGAAAGAGATCACTCTTTCAGGGACACTGGCCAAGAATGGTGAGCAAGCTCCCTGGTCAGGCAGGAAGTATGTACAATTTGTTTCCAGAGGAATTCATTTAGGTCTCATGATAATTTTTCACAGTGGGAAGAAATTACCCTCAGTTTATATTTTTAAATCCTTTAGACTAAAGTGATTTGATAAGCATAATGGACTAGAAGTGCAGTGAAATCTTTGTTAAAGAATCTCTGTCTCTGAACCTGAAAGTGGCTCTTTCTCCCAGCAACCAAGAGGCAGGAGGGAAAGAGAGAAAGAAGGGAAATTGCATGGTAAAGGAAGGAGACCCTCATTGTTATACAAAATTACATATAAGAGGAAGTGAGGGGAAAGGGGAAAAAAACAAGAGAGAGAAATGAATYACAGTAGATGGGGTAGAGAGAGAAGATGGGAGGGGAGGGGAGGGGTGGGGAGGGGAGGGGGGGGGAGGTGGGATAGTAGAGGATAGGAAGGGCAGCAGAATACAACAGACACTAGTATGGCAGTATGTTAAAAAGTGGATGTGTAACCGATGTGAATCTGCAATATGTATACGGGGTAAAAATGGCAGTTCATAATCTGCTTGAATCAAATGTATAAAATATAATATGTCAAGAGCTTTGTAATGTTTTGGACCACTAATAATAATAATAATAATAATAATAATAATAATAAAGCACCCTGCAAGCCTGTCTTCCACTGTAGCTCCCCAAGCATCTCTGGCAATGTTTTGACATTTTCACTACCCTATATTGCTAAACCACAGCACACCTTCTCCTGAAAACAGAAAGGCAGATGATTCAATTCTGTAAAAGGTGTGTGAGACGACTACAAATTTCTCAGAATTAAAACCTGGAGTGGTATCTCAGAAATCCTAGCATCACATTTCTCTAAGTCTTCATTCCTATGATATCCAATGTGCATACATATGCTTGCACTTATAACGTGGAAAAAATAATTAAAATGATTGGAAATTGGTTTGCAAATATAAACCTGAAAGGACAATCCCTCAAGTTTCCCTCCCAGTGCGATAGGTGAGCTTCTGTGAAATTACCTTATTTGCTTTTGCCATTGAGAGAGCCATAGGGAGTTATTTATTAGCTTGTGTGAGGTCTTAATTATTGCATCAAAGAAATACTTAAAGGACTGCAAGATAGGGCCCTGTAGACTTTATTGTAAGAAAGGTAAACTAATTTTTCTTCAATTTTTCTACAAGGAATGTGTAATAAAACAGATGACTGCAAGATAGGGTCCCATAGGCTTTTTTGTAGGAAAGGTAAACTAATTTTTCTACAAGGAATATGTCCTAAAATAGATGGGCCTTTATTTTGCAAAAGACATACTAAGGAATGACCATATAATTTATCCAAACTGAGCCTCCTGAAAGTAATAGGAGACATTTTAATGATTACACCAAACAATAGGAACAAGCAAGGAATGTCCTTGAGAACATTCATTCCTGAAGCAGAGAGTTATCGATCACAAATGAGATCTACAAATAACAGGAATATTTGAAAAATCTCCTAAATCACTACTTTAACAATAAATATGTTTGTCAGGTTAAGTCTGAAGTTCATTTCTCTGTTGTCTTCAAAAACAAGCAACTAAGATAAATATGGAGCAAAATGATTTTGTGTGTAGTAGAACTTCAACTTTCTTGTATTGGGTACCCTTTGTTTTTAGTAAATTTATTTAATCTTCGAAACCACCCTGAAGCATGTATCACTTTATATAATGAAGGAAATAGGGCTAAAATAATTTAAATTTTCTCCTCAAAGTCACATATATGAAGTGACAAAATGAGAATTTCTAAATCCATGTTTTTTTTCTAATAAAGAGTCTATTTTTCTAGTAGACCAAGAGTCTATTTCTGTTGCTCCCAGTGAAGGTAATAGTGTCATACCAAGGATCTCCAGTGCATAAGTCCCTAACCTACATAGGTGATGACATAAGGACTGGTGTGGCCTAACTCAGAAGGATAAAAGTTGCCATAAAATGAAGACCATCAACCCAGCAATATTTATATGCAAAGCACCAAAAAGGAATTTGTTGTTTTGGTTGGTTGGCTGTTTTTTTGAGGACCAGGGTCAAAAAAAGGTTCTCAAATTTATCCAGATGACAGTATAAGATATAAGCCTGTACCATCAAAATGCATTCATTTTGGTCAGAGCATTAAAATATATATGGCTCTCCACCTATACCCTGTGACCTTCATAGACCTTTCACTGCAACTTACTGTTCTTCCTGTTCATATGTAATTTTCTTGTTTTCCATCTTTGGAATGGGACTTTCTCTGCTTGCACTCATCCACTCCTGTGACAATACAGTAATTTAGACTAGAAATTCAACTCTGAAATCTGGTGAATTTTTGATTTCACAAAATCTTCTTCTTCCCAGTTATAAGATCTTAGTAAAAAAATTTAACTTCTATAAATTTGTCCTTCATGGATAAATTGAGGATGGCATTAGTTTCTACCTCAAATTTGTTTGGAAGACTAACAGTGCATTAAAGTGCTTAGCATAGTGCTTGGCCCAGGATATCCACCAAAAAATAAAAGTTAAACTAACAAATGTCTGCTGATTTCCACAGCTGTACTTAAAACCCCAACATTACACCTACATTCATTCCATACCCTGGTTACAAACTGCCTGCTGGGCATTTCTATCAGGCTTTCTGGCAGACATTGCAACTAAAACATGTACAGAATTGAACTTATTATCTGTCCTAACAGACTCGTTCCTTTTCCTGTATTCCTGGTTTGGGGTTGGATCCACCCTTACCACACTATGAAGCTTGAAAACTCACTTGACTCCTCCCTCTATATTGCCCGCACATCCTGTCAGCTGAACCCTCTGATTCTATCGCAAATTTCCAAGTTCATTTCCTCTAGTGCATCAAAGTACTATTAGAAGAAAAAGGTGAATATTTATTCTACATTATGGTAGGGATAGAATTTTTAAAGGTGAAATGAAATGCAAGATTATAAAATAAAAATATTTTAGGGGCTGGGGTGGTGGCTCAATGGTAGAGTGCTTGCCTAGCGTTTGTGAGGCACTGGGTTTAATTCTCAGCACCACATATAAAGAAATAAAGTAAAGGTCCATTGACAACTAAAAAATATATTTAAAAAAATATATTTTAAGTGTGTGTGTGTGAGTATGTATATTTTACCAGAAGCAAGGCAAAGGCAAAATGGGGAATTTTTGCAACGTGTAAGAGAAGCAAAAATGGAATATAATTTATGCATATAAACTCCTTAAATTATTTTTTAAAACAGATAAAGGAATAAGACATGAATGAACAATTTATCATATAAGAAAAACAAAATGCCAATAATAATATGAAAAGTTATTTCATTAGCAATA